GAGGAGGGAGGGGGCTGAGGGGTGCACGAGGAGGAGGAGGCAGCAGAGGATGTGGAGGCGCTGCTAGCAGCTGATGTGGAAGTCTCTATCATGCTGCTGTGAGTGATGAAGTGAAGACGCAGCTTCATGGCTGGACGCAAAGTCATGATGATTTTCTCCACCTGGACAGACGTAAACACATGCATGTGCACGCACACACAAACACACACAAATACACAGAAGTAGACAAATTCATAAGGAGCAAAGCAATCACATAAAAAAAACTAATCCAAACCATCCACGTGTCTGCTAGATCCCATCCCAACCAGAATGTTTAAAGAGGTATTTCCCCTAATTAATGTCCACATTTTGGATCTACTTAATTTGTCTTTAATGGATGGTTATGTACCACAGCGCTTTAAGGTTGCTGTAATTAAACCTTTACTTAAGAAGTCTGACCTTGATTCAGAAATTCTTGCCAACTATAGACCTACATCTAATCTAACTTTCATCTCAAAAATTCTAGAAAAAATAGTTGCAAGTCAGTTGTGTGAACACCTACAAAGAAATAATCTGAAGAGTTTCAGTCAGGGTTTAGAGCTTATCATAGCACAGAAACAGCACTAGTAAAAGTCACTAATGATATTCTCATGGCCTCAGACAATGGACTTGTGGTCTGGGGGTCCACCCCAACAGAATTTTGAATAAGTCAATGCCATTTTCTACATTCTGGTGTATTTTACAAACATTTAAAACACTTTTCGCTTCTAATACTCTGATTGTACGACAAACAGCTTCATGAGCTGAGATCGTCTGTTTTATCAGTTTGGTGAAGGTTCAGATAACTCCTGCAGTGATTCACACATCAGATTGTTCACAAAAGCACAGGAACTTATGCCTAGTGCAAAACATTAAATTATATTTTTGTGTTTTGTAATAAAATTATATACCATGACTTTGAACTTTAAGGGGCAGAGATTTTTTTGAGCATAAGCAAAAATGTGAAGCAACAGCTCTGATGTGATATTAGGAAGCTTGTTAAAATTATAGTTTTATTTAGTTATAGTTTTATAGTCAATCTTTGTCAAGTGGGTAGAAAAATATACAGTGTATGCACAGATACGGCTGCGCACCTCCACCGGTCTGCTCCAGACCACGTAGTTGAATTGCTTTGTTCTTCACTAGCAGAAACTGAAACTAACCACTTGTGTATGATGACCTGCGTCAAGAGTGAGTCAGACAGATGTGGTAGAGAGAATTTAGTGATTTTTCAAAATAAAAGTTTTTTTTCCCCTTCTGTGCAGCCATTGACCCACGGACCGGGACCGGTCCGCAGCCCGGGGGTTGAGGACCACTGATCTAGTTGATAACTTCTTTTCAAAGTTCACTCGATAAAACTGCTCAGCTGAAAAAGAGAGTAATCAATCAGAGGAGACTTGATACATAATTAAATTCTCAGTTACATACTTTAAAACAGACATCTAAACAGCTGGAAAGAAAATGGCGCTCCACTAACAATGAAGAATTTTACTTATCTTGGAGCCTGCTAAATGTACCATAGCTAGTCTAATGAAAAATCCAATCTCTGTTGATTCATGTATTCCTACAACTATAAGCAGTGATGAGTTCATGAGATTCTTTATAAAAAAATATATATTTCAATAAGGAGAAAAATTCAAACCAGCCTTCCTACTATTGCCTCTGGTTCTGCATCAGATGAGACAACTTTAAAAATGTCACTAGATCCTGATTTATGTTTGAACTGTTTCTGTCCTGTTGAGCTCCCTGAATTGTCAAAAACAATAGCTTCATCCAAACCATCCACAAGTCTGCTAGCTCCCATCCCAACCACCCACTTTATAGAGGTACTTCCCCTAATTAAAAAACAAATTTTGGATCTACTTAATTTGTCTCTAATGAAAGGTTATGTACCACAGCGTTGTAAGATTGCTGTAATTACACCTTTACTTAAGAAATGTAACATTGACTCTGGAATCCTAGACAACTATAGAACTATATCTACTAATCTAACTTTCATCTAAAAAATTCTAAAGAAAATTGTTGCAGGGCAGTTGCGTGAACATTTGCAAAGAAATAATCTGTTTGAGCACGTTGCTCTGCTCACCTGTTCTTTCACACTGTCTCCGGTGTATATGTATTTAATGTGATACAGGAAGTCACAGACTGGGTCCATGTAGCTGAGATGATGGCAGTGCTTGTCGACGGCCTGCAGCATCTCGTAGAAAGCCACACCAATCTAATACACAAACACACAAGTTTACAATAAAAATGTGACAGAGACATAAATACTGCTTATGTCAGCTAATATTTGGTGAACGTACCTCCAACATGCACTGTGTCCTCTCCTGCTGGAAGCGCTGCAGGAACGGCCCGACCAGGTGATACACGTAAAGTAACTGGAACTCTGTCTTGACGATGGGCTTCAGGGTTTCGGACAGAAATCTACACACGCACAATCACACGCACAATCACACGAGTATCGGATGAAGACGAAATGTTTCTGGACAATTGAGAAAGAAAGACTGTTACTTGGGAATCAGAGACAGCTGTCCAATGGATGAGTGATGCCAGATGGCGTGCGCTAATGCTAGCACATAGCTGCAGTTCATTTCGCTGTAGCTTTGGTGGCAAGCAGTGAAGTCGAGCAAGGCGAAAGGATAATCTCCCCACTCTGTCTCCGATGTCAGAGCTGGAGAGCTGAGAACGGACACAATGTGATCGTGGAGGACGATCCAGTAGGGCTCCTAGAACGAAAGATTAGAAGCAATCAAAGAAAATTTAAAATTGTGATTGTTTATTGTCACCAAAAACAAAAATAAAGTAAAAATTTGAGTTCATTTTCTTACAGGAAGTGCAGTGATCACAAGCCCAGTTGCATTCATCCAAGCCGTGATGTTTTCTCTGGGAACCAGAGGCTGACTGAAAGATTGCAAATGAAAATAGTAATAAATAATTTTAACATTCAATAAATTTGAAAACCAGAAATCAGCAGATAGACAAGGAACCTGGACTTAATTCTACCACAAATGATGTGTCGCACCTCTTCAACACAACGTTGAGCAAAGCGTTGCCGACATCTTGTCCTGGGACAGACAGAGCCATCAGCTCCACACAGGTGACGTGCAGGGCGTGAGCTGCGGGGTTGGGGAACTCGTTGAATCTCCAGTCACAGTTGGGGAAGGGACCAGGTGACTTTCCTGCCATGGGTGGGGAAGAGTTAAGGACAAAAAAAGACATATGAAGGAGGAAATGTTTTTATTTGTTCCCAGATTAATTTGTCTGGTT